AGGGATCCTCGTCTGTTGGCTCTTCTCGACTCGACGCCTTGCACGAACACCTACACACCCACGTGCCGAAGTGTTTATAGAAAAAGCGACGCGTGCGAGGTATGCCAGGCATGCGTGCCTCTTCCGGCCGGCAGATTACTTGCATAATTCCCATGGTTCCAATAATTTTCGGCAGGGCCGTTTGGTCTACGAATGCCCCAAAAGGCACGTAGTAGAGATGATCAAACTCTCGGGTCTTTTATCGCCGTAATAAAACCGAGAATGAGGGAGCATAGAATTGTTTGCGCCTCCTCCCTTAGGATCGTTAAATGAGGTGTTTGAGACGATCCACACACGATTGCGTTGGTAAAAATGACGCGAGACCAAACACGCGTGTAATACGTTGTAAAATATGACTCAGATGAAATCCCATCACCTACGACGAGAAAGATATGCTGGCGCGCAATGACCTGCTCCCGCATACATACGCGTATACCTTCGAAGAATGGACGGACTCTCGTGAATGGGACAATAATTTTACACCCCGTCTTTTGGGAGGGCAGTCGTCGACCAACACCTATAACGAGTATTTTAAACCCTATACAAGCCGACGCGGTGGTGCCCGTTGCGTTAACTCGAGAGTCGAGCATTGTTAGGTTGTACTTTGTTGCCAAGAGACGGGTCCCACGTAGGTATGCGCCTTGGCATCTGAGAGGGATGTGTATCGATTTTCGCACGAGTGATGTGCGTGTATGTACGCCAGAGACTCGCTGTCACTGCCAAACAGATGTGTGTGTGTGTGTGTGTGTGTGTGTGCTTAATACATGCCGGTTGGCAATTTAATTGTGTGAGAAAGTCTTAAGTGATGGTTGACGAAGGAACGAGTGGCTTTTTTATTAGGGATTAAGCGATGAAATTTCAAACGTTGAGTATCTCTGATTTCAATGTGATTGTTGTATTGCAATTTTGAAATTTTTTCAAAAAACTTTTAATTTTTTGTGGACGCTTGCATCCACTCAACTCAACTCTAGATCTATTTCAAATCAGTACGACTCAGTAATTCAAAAAGCCCATCGAGAACCAACCATTTGTCGGAAGAGGCTAGAATAATCGTCGGCAAAGATCACCCTATGCATCTCTCGAGGAAATAAAAAAAGAACAGAATGAAATCGAAACGAGAATTGTAACTTGGTCGTAAAAAAATATATTTATTTACGTGCAACTGGTTCTCGATGGACTTATATTCATCGTGGAAATTCCATCACTTATAATCTCATCTGTACACACTTCAAGATTCTTTCACTTTTATTTATTTCATAAAATACTTATGCAAAGTAATTTTAGAAAGCTTTCAAAATTTTTTTTGTATAGAATACAAAGAAGTAAACAAGAATTATACACTTGTTTACTTCACTGAGTAGAAAAATAAAATTACAAATGGAATGGATGAAATCTTTACGTACTCATGTGCATACTTTAAATAAAGTCATAATATTCAAGTTATGGTACCCTCCAGAAATGCTCAAAGGCATATTTTTTTTTATACGTGTTAGCATTAAATCACATGGTAATTTGGCCAAGTAAATTCGAGGCGTTTAGCTACTAGTGAGTATACACAAGGCGTAGGCTGTAATTACCTCAGTATGTAAATTGAGGTATAATTTTGGCTGATAGCATAATTTAAGATGGACAGAGAAAGAGAGAAAAAAAAAAAACAAAAAGTACCAACTTGGAAGCGCCTAAAAATTGGGAAATACTCCTCGCATTCTTCATCTTTTTCACTTGCACGCTATTTCAAAAAATTTCTCAGCTCGAAAAACAACCAGTTAACATACACCAAACATCATAATAAGACTTGGGGGTAAAATAAAATTTAAGTATTCTATACATTTTAATCATNTCTTTTTCTATAGATCGGTAGCTAACGGGATGTGTATTTTTTTGTCTGGACTGCGAGTGTGTAGAGGGCGGTAACTTGAACACGTAAACAGACGAGAAGAAAGTTTTTTATTTTTCTACAGGCCCCGAAAGGAATTTTTTATAAATTTTTTGCTCCGTTAAAAAATGTATTGGTTTATACATTTTAAATATATTTACGTATACTATTTAAAGATTTATTACTTCCAACAGAGAGTAATAAAAATTAAAAGACAGACCCTGAGACTTTGGGATAGTTCTTACCACAAAATAAAAAAAAACTAAGGGATATTATGAACTCCAGTTTTGATTTGCTACAAATCATACGTAAATTTGGGCACGGATATTTTTTCAACTGTTTTACAATATAAATTTTTGCTAATAATAAAATGCACTGATTGTGCTACAAAACACCTTTTTAATTACTTCTTGCAAAAACAATGTGAAACAAACAACAAAAAACAATTTAGAGAAAGTAGCATCAAATTATTTAAATGATTGATTTAAAATATCTTACAATAATTTTTAATACGTGGAATATACTAGAAAAAATGTGTATTTGTCAGAACAAAATTTTCTCAGTGTTGTATTGTAAATAGTTATGAATAAAAAAGTGTTCAGCAAAAAGAATGTATTTTTTTTACGAAATACATTTTTTTTAGTGTTTAAAAATTCATAAAATAATTAAAATTAAGTCTGATTATTCACATATTAATTTAAATATTTATCAGATTGACAGAGAGTGATACTCTTCGTATAAAAGAACACGTGATTGCTCCTCCAAGTACATCGCTGTGGTGTATCAAAGAGAGCCGTGACTTCTCGTGTATAACAGACATTAAATCGGCTTATTCATCCATCCCATTCTCGAAGACGAGCAACGACAGCTGAGTGGAAAAGAGAGCTAACATTAAGATCATCTCGATTTTTTATCAAGTAGTCTTTAGAAAAACTTGAGCTCTTTGGCCTTCCGTGGCTTTCTTTCAGAAATGAATGTTCTTTTATTGGACTTGGTTGGTTATTGACAGGGAAAAAAACATTTTTATCGGAGCCTAAATGGTACTACCTATGTCCAAAGTACCCCCCTTTAGGTGGAGCAGTTTAAAAAAAAAAGTTTACACCTAACTCGTTATGCAGTAGTACACACAATACAAAAAATTTGAATACATGCCGGTTGGCAATTTAATTGTGTGAGAAAGTCTTAAGTGATGGTTGACGAAGGAACGAGTGGCTTTTTTATTAGGGATTAAGCGATGAAATTTCAAACGTTGAGTATCTCTGATTTCAATGTGATTGTTGTATTGCAATTTTGAAATTTTTTCAAAAAACTTTTAATTTTTTGTGGACGCTTGCATCCACTCAACTCAACTCTAGATCTATTTCAAATCAGTACGACTCAGTAATNTGTGTAGTATTTTACGTTTATTACTAAATAAAAATTACTAAATTTTAAATTAATCGTATTAAAATTTTTTTTATGATTTTGTATGATAAAAAGTCAGTTTGATAAACTACTGACAAAAAAAAGTTGTTCTGAGATCTAAAATCTGATGGGATGGAATCTCGAAAGGCAATAATCCATAGTAGAGGTTACGTAAATTATGGTTTTAAACATACTTATACAATTTGAAAAATCTGGAAATATCAGGGTATAAGTATATCCTAACCCGGAAAAACCTTTGAATATCGAAATTTTTATATGAATTCCTGGAGTTGTGGTATTAATTAAAAAAAAAAAAAAAAATCAGTTACGTTATTTTGGATTGCTTTCGAGTAAAATAGCAACATTTTTTTTGTAAGTCTAAGTAAGTAAACCAAATACTCTATTTTTTACAATCTCTGGCTATTATTAAACAACATTTTTGTATCCTTCGAAAAACAACATCCTTTAAGAAACAAAATGATTAAAGGAGTATACATTTAAGTTTAAAAAAAAAAGTTTACACCTAACTCGTTATGCAGTAGTACACACAATACAAAAAATTTGTTTTTAAACGAGTTTGGATCTATTTTACCATTATTATACGTGCCCAAACACATTGTGTAGGTTTATTTTGTATAATTTTATTATGTCAAAACATACTTTTTTAAATCAAAATTGATAAATAATTTTTAAGGCCATATTTCACTACTATTACAAAATTGAATAAATTTACAGTAGTAGAAAATCATAATTGTATAAACATTCATTTTGAATGCAATCGTTTACTTTGATTTTGCAATTTTGGAAATTTCTAAATATTATTGAAGACGTGAAAAAAATCCTCTGAAAATTTAATTACATTTAATGAGTTATTATTTTTATACACGAATTTTTTAAATTCTTGATCACATATTATTAAAAAAAAAAAAAAAATTAAATTAAGAGTATCTGCAAGTAGTTCCAGCAAGATTACAGAGCTCAACGTTTCTGGAAAAATTTTATATCAAACAAGTTAAAAACATTTCTGTCAAGAATATTCCAAAAGGTATTTTTACTGTCCTACTCAACAGTATCCATTAGTGAAAAAAGAAAAAGACTATGAAAAAAAAAGAAAAAATAGCTGAAAAAAGAAATGTTTTTGTCTTGCAAGAACTAGATATTTAACGAAAACGATAATGCTTTGAAATAAATGCTGCAATAGACAGATTAAAAATAGATTATTTTTCAGGACATTGATCAGTAAAAATGTTACGTATGCCTCCAAAATTTGATGAATAATTTATTAATCTGTTTTATATTTATTTTTATTTTTAAAAATTTTAACAATGAGACTAGATGTTTGAATGACTGAGATTAAATGTTTTTCTCAAATGATACGAATGCGCATTTCCGTTGTCCAAAAATTTTGAATGACAATGTCAACTTGTAAAAAAATTTCGAACAAAACAATTACCACTCCAAATTTCCAAAACTCCACGGTCCTTATCCGCAAGTTATTCACACATGATATTCACCACTATTTGTTAAATTTGCAAAATCTCATCACGCACCCAATAAAATCGCAATCCATCACCGCTCTTCTGCGCTTCGATTTCAACACATGTCTTACAAACACACATTGAGATAAACAAATACAGGATCGATGGAGAGAGAGAGAAAAAAAAAAGACCGATCGACTCACCCATTAATTCATCAGCGAGGGGGTGGGCGCGCGCTGAAAATCACCCGACCTTCGCCCGTCACTCCGCTCTTTCTGCCGATGCAGTCTCTTCTTCTTCTTGTCTCCTTTAGCTTCCTTGTCCCTGCAACCTGCTTTTGCCTCGCTCGTCCACCGGTTTGCACTTTTACCGTATATTCGTATTACCTTTTCTTGGTATATACATGTAGGAGTATATGTCTATAATCCGCTTGTGTCCACCACCGACAAGCTCACGCCTCCAAAGCCGGCGAACGGTGCAGAGGGAGAGGATAGCCGATCCTGTGGGTACGTACTAACGAGCACGGCTTATCTCATTTTATTTGTTTTAATTTTTTTTTTTTTTTTTTTTTTTGCTACTTGTACGTATATTATCCAAAGCAAATTACGTTAAAAGTACTTTGGATCAACTGCACTTCCTGGCAAGGAAATGATGAACAAAAAATCCTTTGACTACAGAGTCACTGTCAACACTAGTGTAATTTGAAAAAGGTGGTCTAATGTCGCGCGTTAAAAATCGAAAGGAAAACAAAAATGCAGCAAAAATGAGCACGTGAACGCGCGGGCGAAACACGAGGAGAAAGGGAAGAAGAAGAAGAAGAAGAAGAAGAAGAAAAAAAAAAAAATGATCCACTGCAGTGGTAGAAATCGCGAGAGTTGGGATCGCCTAACCAGACAGAACTCGGAGACGCTGCCTCGGCGACGCTCGCGACGGCACTGCCTGCGAAGCTGGTGGAGCGCGCGACTCCACGCCGCTGCTGCTGCTGATTCTCTCCTTCTCTTTCTCTGCATCTTCCTATATTTATGTGCGTGCGTTACCTATTGTTGTACCTATCTTGCCTCCCTCCTGCAACTTTTCTCGATCCTCATCGGTGATACTTTGTCAGTATGCACCTTTTGTACCTACTTCCCTTAGGCGTATTTGACGGTTTTTGGTACATTAGGTTTGTACACGCATCGTAAGAAATTGTAAGACTTTCAGGGAGGTCGTTGGGTAAAATTTTCTATTTTCATGCCGTGTTAATCAATAAAATTTTCACTAAAGTAACAAAAGTATGCTCGTAATTGTCATCCGGTCGTTCGGTAGCTTTGTTTGGGAGAAAATCGATAAGTTAGTAAGTACGGGCTGTACTTGATCGTTAATGTATCGTAATTTTTTTCGTCTTATAAAAACCATCAACTTCGAACAGGTAAAAAGTTTAAGTGACAAATTTGTTGGTATCTTTTTCTATAGATCGGTAGCTAACGGGATGTGTATTTTTTTGTCTGGACTGCGAGTGTGTAGAGGGCGGTAACTTGAACACGTAAACAGACGAGAAGAAAGTTTTTTATTTTTCTACAGGCCCCGAAAGGAATTTTTTGTAAATTTTTTGCTCCGTTAAAAAATGTACTATTGGTTTTAACTTTTTAGTATCCGGTATAAAAATATTTTAAAACTTTCGCCAAAAAAAACCAAAATGGAAACCTACTCTTAAACGAATAGAGGTTGCATCGGCCCTTGGAATCGGTACGTGATCTTGTCACAAAAATCGGTAATTAATAATAACAGAGTGGGAAAATCATGTTCCGTAATTATAAGTGATTTTTCGTGCGTAGTTAGTTTCCCGGACAAATGGCGCAAGAAATCAAAATTCTGAGCTACCCCAGATCATGTTAAAAATACCGATAATATTCAATAATATTATTGCTCACGTCTAAAAACCAATCCAATTACAAACTTACTATTGTTACAATCTCTGGAGGAACGGATGGACTTTCGGCTCGAATCAATTCCCAACTCTGCAGAATAAATACTTCCCGCACCCCTCGATACCAGCCAAACTTGTTCTCGAGACTCTCGCAAGTTTTCCCTCGACAATGCACGCACGTTCACATCCCAAAGTTTCTCACTCGATGATATTTTTTCCTTCGGCTATCGTGTGTTTTCTTTATCCATGCAGCCGAGATACGGTGTGGAGCTTAGGACGAAAAATTTCACGAAAGTCCAAAGTTTTGCATACGCGAAGTAGCATCGATGGAATATGTATGCCCACGAAATGTAATGTACTGTACGGACGATGCTCCGGCAGAGTTGGAGGGTTGCGTTCGCGAAGTACGAAGACGGTAAAATATGACAGTGATTTTAGGAAAAGAAGCTGCGGGATATTTCTTCCGCACAGGGGAAGGAAAGTTCTACTTTTTCTTTCCAATTTTATACTCGCTAATATTGGTATACTTTTACTTGCCAAGAGGGCACTATTGGCAAAAGACGCGAAAGTTACTATGACGATTTTTTAATTGATCGGTCATCCTTTTACAGCATTATTAATTTATTATAAAAAATATATAAGCTTTGGTTTGAAAATTACAAGTTACGAATATCTAATTTTCATCTAAAATTATCGAAGAAATACTGTACAAGTAATTTTTCCCTTTTTCCACTCAAACGACCAGTTGGCCAAATTCATGAGAAAAACTACGCTTTTAAAATTAATACACAATCGATACATTTATTACTGAGAAAAAAAAAATTATTGTATTCTGTTGGCGAAAGTTGTATTTTTCTGAATTATAGTAAAATCGAGGTAACCATCTCGTTTATTAATCTCGATAGTTCCTTTTTTTCTCGATAATTGGTGTAAGAACTACCGATATAGTTAACAAAGTCAGCAAAAATCAGCTATAAATTTACATTTTTATCTTACAATCGCTAAAAATTATGAAAAGTTGAAGTATGGTCACAGGGATTTTATTTGGCGGGTCAAATGAATGTGGTTACGACTAAAACGACATTCGCAACGATAGAAGTGAATCACGAGAGAACCGATTTAATCCTCCCCGCTAAACACAGATAAGCTAATAATAAACCGCAGATTGATCTCATCGGTTGGAAACGCGTGATCATCGACACAGATAAAATACGATCGCCCGAAAAATTCATAGCGCAAACACGAGGGAAAGGAAACGTCGCAAAGCCATACGCGCGAAATTTGCAATAACAGTCCAGTGGTACGGAGAGCGCGGTATTAATAACTTTTTAATAACAGCCGCGCGAAGAGCCACGGCGGGCGAAGCGTTTCGAATTGCACACGAGCGCGTTCAAAGGCGCTAAAGAGACGGACAAGGTGCCCATCACTTGAATCATTAACGCGCTCACAAAACACAAATTTACGTGCTTCTTTTAATGTACGTCCCCGTAATAATATATATATACGTACCCTGCATAGTGTATATTTATGTAGTTGTGCGAACTACCTCGGTTGGAGAGGAAAAGAGCCGAAGGAAGGGAGGTGAAACAGCTGCTTGGATTTTGCATTCGCACAACTCCCCCTACCCCTCTTTGCCACTGTTTATAAAGTACTTTGAGCGCCAATCCAGTCTTCCTCCTCCTCGCCGCCCCGATGCATTCCATCGTTTTACATTTATGACCTGCACAGACACAGAGAGAGAGAGAGAGAGCAAATTCAGCGAATCCCGAGGCGAATTTGCAGAGCCAATGCGTCCTTTGTATATGTATATATATGGGCAGCTTGGGGGTTCTGGCAAGGTGAGTACTATTAGCGAGGGAATACTCATGTACGGCGACCGTCTGCGCTATATATAGGGCCGAGAGGCGCCTCCAGCGTGTCAGAGGAAATTTTTATGGCACTAATATTTTCTTTGGCTATTTTACCTCTTCTACACTTTACGAGTTACGAGAGGCGTACGGAATTTTGGTGTCGAGATTCTTGTTACCTTTAAAAAGTGTTTAATTTATAGCTCACGGTTAAACGCGATTGGGTGACCATATGTGTGTGCATATGGTCGCTGTTAATCGCGGCTGTTAGTTGTGTTTTATATTTTATTTATGCAACTGATTTGAAGAGGCAATTGGAAACTCGGTTGTACGTTTATATCATGAACAATGATTCAAAGTGTTATTTTTTTGAATAAATAATTTTTTTTAAACGCGTTTTGCGCGATTTTATTCTTTAATATGCATATCCTACAAAACTCAAAAAGAACAAAATTCTGTTTACATTTTTTCACTTATTATTTCGTTTTGTAAACATACTTTCCACATATTATTTGTGCAATCTTACAGGTATAATATCTTTACTAGTATATCACTAATATTATACATAAGTAAATAATTATTTAAAAAGCTTTTGTTTCGATCCAAATGATGTGTTATAAGTCATAATCATTATAAAATAATAAAAGCACAACAATTTATACCGTACTATTGAATTTTAACGTACCATTATTTTTTTAAATAACTATACCCAATACATTTTTATTTTTTAGTTTTTTTAGAAAACAAAGCCTGGCCAACTCACCATCAACGTCTTCTCCGTTTTCCTCTCAATCGACGCGTGAGAAAAGCCACGTACAACAAAAAACATCTTACCGTTCGCCTTTGTGTTGCGAAGGTTGTTCTTGGCACCAACAATGTGTGTGAATAAAAATGAATGTACACACACACATACACACATGCATATTTACGCAAGTACGTGTACTATAAGTGCATACTATAAGACGTTCAGTATTTATCATCTTCCTCATACTTATGTAACCTACACTTTTCTCATAGTCTTTTAACGTAGATGTGAATTCACTAAGCTCTCGAAGATTCATACGAGATAAACAAAGTGCCTCCAGTTTTCTGATTGTGTCTATGACTATAAAAATAATGGTTCATTGTACAAAGGCTAAATTTTTTGTAATGTTTTGATTTTAATTTAATTTTTATAATGATTACAAACAATTAAAATCTTGTGTACGTGATAAAAAAAAATTAATAAATAAAACCAAAACTAGTGAATTTTTTCTAAATTTCAAGAAAAATTCTTTACCTATTTCAGACGGTAGAAACGTGATTTTTGCACAAAAAATGTGTATCTTGTGTCGACCCTACAATTTTTTTCGATATTACACCAAAAATGTCTGAGACCTTAAGCTTGCAAGTAAGGAATAGTTATATCGTAAATTAGATACTACATTACGTAGATTATATTATATAGACTCCTTTTATAAATGTAACTTATGCACGTATCCAAAATACTTTAGAAACGTAAGAAAAGAATTGTAACAATAAAAATTTTATTTTAAATAAATCATGTTACGATCATTATTGTAAAATATATTATTCTTTTTAAACAAAAATATCAACTGTTTACAAACAATAAAATTGTTTAAAATCAAAAATATAATTTTATAAATGATTTAATGTTTTATTTAAATGTTTTCTTATTACTTTTTTTTATCGATAATATTACTCTAGATGATGAAAGGCATCGCTGAATGGTAAATGCTGCAAATAGTTTATGTTAAATGCTGTATTAAATTCATAAAGCGCAGAAAATTAAAAAGCTAAGTATTTTTTTGTATTAATATAATAGTTTAGCTAAATAACATTTTACAAATACATGGTATATGAAAAAATGGCATATAATTTTAAGGATATATATACCA